TCTCTCGTTACAAATTTGGTTCAGCAAAATCCAAACAAGCAGAGTTCGAGTTTTCACAAATATGAAAACTTTAAAAAATTTATGGAAAGCCCTGACCAAATAGAACAGGTACCATAGTGCAGTTCCGGCTTAGTAACCCTCAAGTCCAACCACTTCTGCCCCGTTCAGACCAAAAAAGTTGCAGTTCTGCCCGTTCAAAAAGCCTTCCATGGCTCAAAATAGATTGAAGCTCTGCCAAAATCAAACTTTAGTATCGATTTACAGCTGAAGCTTAGCAGTTGAAGCTGGTGACAGTTCAGTCCAGCACAAACATACCCAGTCCAGCCCGGATCAGAAGCTTTTGCCCAGGCATAAATGGAATTTCAGCCACCTTTTTGTCTTTCTAGAGTTGATTTTTCCCTCTCTAGTTTTTTAAAAGGCAGTTCTACAGGAAACAATCCATTTTATTATCATTTATTCTGGCCAGAACTACCAATCTTGTACTGAAATAAATTATGAAGTCCTCACCAGTCTGAAGCAGGAAAAGAATTACTTGGGAGATATTCCTCACCTAAATTCACAATCGTTTGTTTAAAAAATCAGTAACTTGGGGCGCAAGTTATCTATTTTAAGAAGTTTGCTAGAATTGTTATTGCTAGCAGTGGCACACTCGCACACTAAAGAAAGTTGACTTGTTGACCAGTTAATGGTTTTCAAGGCAATGGGGAACTTTACCATACCATCATAGGAACAAAAATAAAACGGGTGAACAGAAATATTGAAAATTGTAGATTAGAGATGAAGAATATAGTTGGACCTAAGACTTAATTTGAATGAAAGCTCATCTTGCTCCAACAATGAGAAAGCACCAGCGAGAAAGAAGAAAATGAATATGATTTGGTTTTTTGACAATTTAATATTAAATCAAAATGAACAGTTGGCAAATGTGATTTTTCTCTCTCAAATCCATAGTACAAGAGCAATATAGATATTTTACACACACAAATAAACTAAAAAATAGCTATTAGATTGAAAAAATCAACGATGTGTTTATAGTTTTTAAGTAGTATAAGGTTTCTTTATAAGGTTATGTATAGGATTTGATATATAACTAAATTTGTATATTTTTAAATACTTTTTAATCAATTGTTTCTTTTTCTTTTTCTTTCTCTTTCCTATTCTGTCCTTACTTTGAATTAAGGCTCTGTTTGGTTCATGGAAAATGAGACTTGAGGATGGGAAATCAATTGTTTTTCCGTGTTTGGTAAGTCAATGTATGAGAAATGGTAGCCCGACACATGGGTAGGGGGAAAGTGAAGCCCTCCTCCTAACTTGAATTTTGTTTTCCCTAAACCCTAAACCCTAAACCACACAACTTACTACTCACCACCACCCACGTCGTCTCCCTCTTTCTTATGTCTTTCCTTCTTCCCCTACCTGCATGCCCAACCCCAACAACACAAGCTCGCCAACCTTTCTGAAGCTCATGTTCCTCTCCTATGCCCAAGGCCACCCCCATCCAGATCTCATCATCCCAATTTCTCTCTTTTTAACCAAATACAAGTTAAGGCACAAAGAGAAAATTCTTGTACTGGATTGAATTCATTCTCTGTTTTCAATTTTTTTGTTTTTAAAATTTGCAGACAGAGTAAAGAATTAGTTTTTGAAACAGGGGCCAGTTTGACTTAATGAGGTGTTGGGAAAGCGAGGGCGAATTCGATTTTGTGAGTGTTAATGCTATGATACGATTTGGTTGTGTAGGTTAAAGCTTGGGTGGTAACTGCGATTCTTATGGTTTGGTCGAGGTTGGGTTGGCGGTGAAGATGAAGCTGAGGGCACGGGGATGAGGGATGCTGGATCTGGCCTTTATGGGTCAACCCATGGGTTAGGAAGGGGGGCTAGGCGGTGGTGCGGCAGGGCAGAAGAATAGGAGGGGCGGAGGTGTGGGGGGGTTTGAGTATATTTTTCAATAAAGGTTTAGGTGGTGAGAGTGATGGCTATGGCAGGGTGGGCTGTCGAGAGAGAAGAAAGTAGGTGCGGTGGCTTTATGAGTGATGGGGAAGAGAGAGAGAGAGAGTGGTGGAGCGGTTGAAAAAAAATAGACTTAATTACATAAATACCCCCTGAAACTTCTGTCAAATCCCACTTTGTCTTCCCAAACTAAAAATGGCTCACTTTCATTACTTAACCGAGATTTGGTGACCCATTTTTCCCCCTACCATCAACTTCATTCAAAAGTCAGTTAACTTTGATAATGTGGCAAGTGAATGACCCACTTTTATGCTGATGTGTTAATAAAAATAATAATAAAAATCCTTTAAATAATAAAACATTAATATTCTTTTATAAAAACTAATATTTTTATAACATAATTATTTAAATTTAAAAAAAAAAAAACAAAGAATTTCCAACTTCCTCTACAGATTTGTGGTTCTCCAACTTCCTCTACTGATTCCTCATCAGATCTAGACACAGAGGTCAGTATAAATTATAGATATTTAAGGTATAGGTTTTCTCATACTAGTCTTGTCTTCTATGGTTCATTTGGGATTTTGTAGTGAAACATGTCATGCATATAGGCATATGATTAATTAGTTTGTGTGTATATGTATATTTATTCTGAAAATGATTGGTATATACCCATATTTGCAGTACCTTCGAAGATCAACATCAGCGTCAACAACCTAAGCAGTGAAATTCCTGCTTCAATTTCTCTGTGTTCCTCTCTAGCCTTCATTGATCTTAGTCAAATCAAAGCTGATTGGGGAAATTCCAAGAGGCATCTCCGAGCTAAGTGTCATGAGCATTCTCAATTTGTCTAGCAACCAACTCACAGGCAAAATTCCCAATGAAATTCGCAATATGACCAGCCTCACACCGCTCGATCTTTTCGATAACAACTTCATCAGCAAGCTCCCAACCGACAGTCAGTTTATGGTCTTCAACGACACGTCGTTTGCTGGAAGTCAAATCGAACAAAAAGCAAAAGAGATGTATGCAAAGGGCATTCACTATTGATTGATAAAAGCTCATGTTGATTCAACCTTTAAGTTTTTGTACCAAAACCTAGACTAATTAGATTGGATCTGACTGCGAGGAGAGGGGGAGAGGGAGGAAGATAAGGAGATAAGGATATAGTGGGTCGCGGAAGGGCAAATCTATAGGGGTTAGGTTGGGTCGGCTTCGGGAAGGTTTGTTTTGGTGGGTCGCTGGCAGATTTGTGGGTTGTGTCAAAGAAGGTGGCTAGGGGAGAGAGGATGAAGGTTGAGAAAATTCTTTGTTTTTTTTTATTATAATAAAAATTATGTTTTAAAAATATTATTATTTTATTATTTTAAGGATTTTTTTATTGATACATCAACTTAAAAGTGGGTCCTTCACTTGTCACGTCATTAAAGTTAACAAACTTTTGGATAAAGTTGATGGCATGGGGCAAAGTATGTCACTAAACCTTAATCTAGATATGAAAGTGGGTCATTTTGAGTTTTGGGGGGCAAAGTGAGATTTGACCGAAGTATCAGGGGGCACTAGTGTAATTAAGTGGGAAAAAATATTGAAAATGGAATGCAAGAAGGAAAATTAAATATAAAGAAAAATAAATAATATAAAAGTGAAGTAAAAATAAATTAATCTATATAAATAAAGAAAAAGGCAGAGAATTGTAAAACATTCAAAATTTAAGAAAATACCTTTGGTTAATGTAAACATTACGAATTGAAATTATTAATTAAATGAAGATAATATGGTAAATTCACACTTTTTTATATTTAAAAAAATTAAAATTAAAAGAAAAATTAGATAATGTGTTGATGCTCAAAAATGGTTCAACTTGAAATTATTAATTAAATGAAGATAATATGGTAAATTCACACTTTTTTATATTTAAAAAAATTAAAATTAAAAGAAAAATTAGATAATGTGTTGATGCTTAAAAATGGTTCAACATTTTTGGGCCTAACTTAGTGATGTTTTGACCTCCGGCACCTTTTGGGCTTCGATAGAGCGATTTATCTGCAAGATAGAAAACGCTCGGTAAGTCCTTGGGCACCGGTGTGGTATCAGCCGAAGGCTCTCTGATGTTTAAGTAAGAATAAGTATGGAGTATATAATAATCTAGACATAGTAATGGCTGTATTGCTGAAAGTCTCAGTTGCCCCGTTTTTGAGACTTTTGCCCACTTTTATAAGTCTTGGGAGGTGTGCATGTTGAGTGAAACTTCGATGTGGGATTGTGGATATTGCATGTGGTGGCTCCACATGTCCTAGCAAGAAATGACTGGCAAGGGATCTTGTGTTGCGTTCGGTAGTAAGGGGTGCCGAACACTCCCTTACCGATGGCATTTTATTTTCCACGTGTGACCTCTGCATGGGTCAATCAGATAAGGTATAAATATAATGGATTCTATTTTTATGAAACACAACTAAAACCCTCTTGCAGGCGCAGAAGCACGTGCGTAGAGACTAGTGCAGAATAAGAAAGAGAGAAAAAAAAAATTATTTAAAAATATTTAAAATAAAAAAAAGTGTAAGTGGGAAAAAGAATAGTGGGCAAATCAATCATTACGCGTCTGTGAGAGGCTAATACATAATAAAGTAGAATAAGAAAAAGAAAAAAGAAAAAAAATTAATTTAAAAATATTTAAAAATAAAAAAGAGTATAAGTGAAGAAAAGAAGAATGGACAAATCAATCCCTTTTGAAAATGGGATGAGATTGGTTACTCCTTGGGTGCACATAGAATTGCCCAGTAAGAAAAGGACTGAAAAGATTGAATGCGTGAATGGTAAGTGGTAGTCGCGAGCGTCAGGCAGGGCTTATCAGAATTCAAATGCTGACCGACCAACGGCTGTTTAAGAAACGTTAGCTGAAGCAGCATACACATAACGACGTGATATCGCCGTTAAAGGAACTGCCTGATGGCTCGCAAATAACAATTGCCACTTCACTAGTGCGTTCAGTGTACCGCAAAAGATGCTACAAGCGTTTGCCTCTCTCTCTATAAAAACAAGACAGAACACAACACAACGCAACACATTGTTTGCTGTGCTTGCGTTGCGTCTGTATCTATCTGTATATGACATCTTTTGCAGCTTTGCTTTACTCACTTTCCACTTTCCTCTCTCTCTCTCTCCTCTCTCTCTCTCTCTAGGAAGTAGGGGTAGTGGCGGGTGTGGCTGCCTTTTTGGAAGAGAGATTCTTGAGCGAGCTTATCCTTCTAATCTATTACTCTTACTCCACAGCGGCAGAAGAGAAGAGAATCTTAAATTTGTTCCAAGTCCTTTTAATTACTTACTCTTAAGTAAACCTTCTCCTTTTCCGTTTCGCCTTTTCTCTATGGATTTGTATTGTAAACTTGTACTAGCTAGCTAGTAGCAGTAGCCACTACTTCATTCAAATCTGGGTTTTCCTCTAATTAGTTAAACACCCGAATATATAATTTCATATTTCCTTCAAGAATCTGTGTATTAGTTAGTAGTGCTGCAGTTTTAGTTAGGCTCTTCTTTGAGCTGTTCCTTCCTGTTGCTGTTTTCTCACTCACCAAGCCGTCATCTTTTGAGGTGTATCATCAGCTCCAGACTCCAGCTCAATCATGGCATGGGTACGATTCCTTTTTCTGTTTTGATGTATGTGCAGAAACTCTAGCTTCTCTTCCTTCCTAGATCTGCTCCTCATCACCTTAATTTCATTTTCTTGCATCACTTCACTTGGGACTTGGGGTGCTCTACTCACTTAGCAACCTTCTCTGCTTTTGTGTTTTTTAGCCATTTATTTGCTTTGCTGCTGCTAACTCTGCCTGCGTCACATTGCATCAAGACTTGCTGTCTTTACCTTCAACCTGGCCAACTTGTGTGTTTGAATTTTGAATTATTTGAAGGAGAAAATGAGGTGGTTTTCAGTGGGTATCAAGGTAGTTTGTTTGCTTTCAATGATGTGCACAGTGAGTGGCATTGGTGCAAACTGGGGCACACAGGCATCCCACCCTCTTCCCCCAGACACTGTAGTTAGGCTGCTGAGAGAAAATGAAATTCGAAAGGTTAAGCTTTTTGATGCGGATTATGACACATTGAGAAGCCTGGGCAAGTCTGGGGTTGAGGTCATGGTTGGTATTCCTAATGATATGCTTGCATCTCTGGCCACCAGCGTTAAGGCTGCTGAGAAATGGGTTTCCAAGAATGTCTCAGCACACGTCTCCTCCAGTAATGTCAAGATCAGGTAAACCTTCCTCCCCACCCCCATTCATTTCTTCTACACTCTACAAAGTTTACTTGATGCTTGCTTGTACACTTTCAGAATTTATCATTTCCCTACTTCTCGAGCAGGAAATGCATCATGCCCCTCTTAATGTGTATATATATATGTTTTTTTTATATACAAAGAATAAGGTCTGAACCTAGGACCTGCCACTTTCCCATCCATCCCAATGCCACTTAAGCTAGAGCTCACAGGATAAATGTATATGATCTGAGCTACAACTTTGTAATTCTTCTTTCACTAGGTTTTTATGCTTTCATGTAACAACCTTGTATACCTCGAATGAGATGAATACAGAGCATCAAATTCTCACATTCGTACAAAAACCAAAGCAAGAAAGGAACATTATTCCACCATCACTGTTCCCAAATTCTAATCCTTTACATTAACAAGAAGCAAACTGGTATGAGGGAAAGTCATGCTATCTTTGGGATTTAGCCTTCCAGGGAGAGTGAGAAATACCCTCCTAGCCCTTACTGCCACCACGTTAATTTTTTCTATCTTGTGTATATTTATATCATGAAAATTAATTGTTCCCAAATTGGTGCAAGCATTTCCGTTATGTATAATTTTCCTTCTTGGTGAAGATTTTGTATTGGGTGTTGGTTTGTTACTATATAGAACTAAGATTACCTTTAGCTATTTTGTGGGTGCTTATATCTTGTGAAAATTAATTGTTCACAACTGAGTGGAGCATTTCAGTTGTGCATAATTTTCATTGTCGACAATGATTCGTATTGGGTATTGGTTTTGGTACTATGTGGATGGTATTGACAATGCATTGTTCTTAATTAACTACTTAACTCCTCATCATATGTTTTATTCGTTCTTTAATGTTTTAAGTTTGAATGAGACTGTACAGTGATGACTAATTATATAGTAAAATCAAACATTTTATCCCCAACTTGATGTCAGAGTCTTATGCACATTGGCTGGGGCCGCATCTTTTGGTCCCCATCTTGTACTGATAGTATCCCCAACTTAACCACCTTGTAAGCTTTAGTGTATGAGTTTTATCGTAAAGGGGAAGACAACACTATAAATTTTCTATTCATTCCAGCCAAACCATTCTCTAATACGACTTCTTGGGGACTTCATTTTCTGCACTCTCCTACTTGACCACCTTGTAAGCATTCAATGGTGGGGTTTTATCTTAAAAAGCTTCGGACCAACTTAAAGAAAATTATCTCACTTAATATATGGTATCATATGAATCATGGCTTGGCATCTTCTTTGAATTGCATTATACTCCATCATGTGCTTGTTTTATGAAGATAACCTAATGTTTAACTATTATAAATAGCCTTCTCCAACAATTCTGCAAGGATGACCATGAACTTATTTGGATTTTATTTGTGTATTCTGCTTCTTTCACGTATCAATGCATCACATACTTATTGAGGTTTTTGCTAAGCGAATAGAGTCATGAAATTATTAAATATCCTCTCTGGCAATTCCATAAGGACACCCGAAACTTATTTGTTTTGATGATGTTCCTTGATTAATTTCGTTTGCAATGCTTAACTATGCTGTATAATGTGCAGAGGAACCTTTTATTCTTCTACTTATTGCAAGCTTTATATAGTCTTTACATCTTTGCATGTGTTCATCCCAGGTATGTTGCAGTTGGAAATGAACCTTTCTTGGAAACATACAATGGTAGCTTCCTCAGAACAACCTTCCCTGCTCTGCAGAATGTCCAGTCTGCCCTGATAAAAGCTGGCCTTAGCAACCAAATAAAGGTGACTGTACCCCTCAATGCTGATGTCTATGCAAGTTCAAATGGGCTGCCGTCAGGTGGTGACTTCCGAACTGATATCCATGGGTTAATGCTTCAAATTGTCAAGTTCTTGAGTGACAATGGTGCCCCCTTCACCGTGAACATTTACCCCTTTATAAGCCTTTACATTGACTCCAACTTCCCTGTTGATTATGCGTTCTTTGATGGCAATGCATCACCTATTGCAGATGGTAGTTTAACCTACTACAATATGTTTGATGCAAATTATGATACTCTTGTGTGGTCCCTGCAAAAGAATGGCTTTGGAAACTTACCAATCATAGTTGGAGAGATTGGATGGCCAACAGATGGAGACCTGAATGCTAACATAGTTTATGCTCAGAGGTTCAACCAAGGTTTCATGTCCCACATATTGGGTGGCAGAGGAACTCCAATGAGACCCGGTCCAATTGATGCTTATCTATTCAGTTTGATTGACGAGGATGCTAAAAGCATTGATCCAGGAAATTTTGAACGACACTGGGGAATATTTACTTTTGATGGGATAGCAAAATACCAGCTTAACCTTGGCAGCACAAATTCAGGGTCCTTAGTTCCAGCAAAAGGTGTGCACTATTTGGAGCGCAAGTGGTGTGTGATGAAGCCATCAGCGAACCTTGATGACCCACAAGTAGCACTAAGTGTGAGTTATGCTTGTGGACTTGCCGATTGCACCAGCCTTGGTTACGGAACATCTTGTGGCAGCTTGGATGCTCGAGGAAACATTTCTTATGCGGTTAATAGTTACTACCAGAGGAACAATCAACTTGATGTAGCTTGCAAGTTTCCAAACCTTTCAATGATCACCAAAACAAACCCATCAGTTGGATCTTGCAGATTTGAGATAATGATCGAACCATATTATGGCGGTGCAGGAAGGCGATTCGGGTGCCTCCAAAAGCCTCTGAGCCTGGTTGCACTTATCATTTTCTTTTCACTAACCGTTGTGTGAATTCCAAGGCTTTGGATTCGTGAGGAGCCACATTACCTAGACCATTCCATTTCATGTAGGATAACCTAGTGAAGGTAAAGAGCAATTGACCATGGCATAGTTGCAGTTCATGTGTTTGAAATTTGGAAAATTTGGAAGGTAAACAGTGCAGTCAAGTTGTCAGCAATTTGCATATTTGAAACTAGAATTGCCTTGAATTATTTTTACCATGAAGAAAGTTTTGTCTTCTTTATTAGTCTTGGGTGATAACAATGGAACTTCCCGCTTCAGCTGGTATTATTAATGGGATTGTGTGTTTTTCGTGACCCAGTAATTCCTTATTGGAATGAAATTGAGGGTGCTGAAAGTTCTACCTTCTAAAAGTTCCTAGTCTAATCTATTAGTAGTTTTTTTTTAAATAAAAAGTCTATCAAGCCAACCAAAAAAAAAAAAAAGCCCCCATGGTACCTTTGTGTGTGAGTTTCCCTCCTCCTTCTTAACTTGGGGAAAAAAACCAAAAAATAATTAACAAGACAACAGATTTGCATTGAGTAAAATGAAGCAACTCAATTGGTGAGTAAAATTAGACCATATAATTTTTAGGGTGCTGATTTTTCCGCTCTATTTTTGTCCACTTATACTCCATTTTGTTTTTTTATTACTTTTTACTATAACATACAAGGTATTGTAAGTGGACAAAAGATGAGTGGGAAAATCAACTCTCAATTTTTATTGTTTATTATAATTTAGAAAAAAAATACCATTAAAAAGGTTGCAGTGGATGCCATGGCATTTATTGCAATGTATGGGGAAAAAAACCCTTCATAAATGCCAGAGCGAAAATGAATGTTACACAAGTTTTTTATGATGAGTAATATATTACTCTCTTTCTTTCTCATTATGTGACGAGTGAAAAAGAATGTTGTGGGGGCTTTTTTGTTCCGGCAGTTACAAATGGGATGGGCTGCCGTAAGGAGCAAATGGGTGAAATTACCCCCGTGTCTAAGTTCAAGAATCAGACCCCAATAATGCTTCGAAAGGGTAGTGAAGCCTTTGGAAGTACCTAGTTATCTTCACAAACAAAAACAACAGCCGCTTACAAATAGATTTTTAGTTTGGCATGAGAAGCTTGTGGCATGAAAACAAAGTAGTTATGAGTTTAGCATTAAAGAGAGAGAGGGATGTGAGTTCCTATGAGAAATAGAGGTTTTCAAAGTAGAGGAGAATGAATTCTAAGAGGGTTCGTTGAAGAGAGAGATGTGGGGGAATAACAATGGGTGTGTTGAGTAGTTTCCGGCAGCTTGACGAAAGCTCTGTCAAGCTCTAGAACAATTTACCATAAGAGAAAATAGGAGGAGATGGAGGAATGGGGCTAGAAATTGCAGAGGTTTCAGGGATGAGAGATGAAGCTTGCTCTCTGAATGTGTATTGTGTTGATGGGTAGGAAATATCTCTTTTTATAGACGTTAGAAGCTCATTCTTCCCAAGAAACCCTATATGGTTCCTCCCTAATCTACCAAGTCTCTCCCTCCCTTTCTCTTATCTTCCTTTGATTCATCCCTATTTCGTGAAATCTTCCTTAGTCCAAGCACTCAAAAACAAGATTTTTGGAGGCTTTAGAGCCTTCCCGCAGCTGTTCTAATGGCAATCTCCTATCTTTAGTTACCATCTCTCTTTCTTTCCTCCCTTATTCATGGCAAGAACTGGTAGGAGAAAGAGATGAGTAACAGTGTTGGTTTGAAGGGTGCTGCGCGCTCTAATATCCTTTGGTTCTTTGAGTGGTTTGCCTTGGGTTTGTTTCTTGGCCATGTGTTGGAGACTCCCAACAGCTTACATACATAGACATTTTTTGGCTTTTATCGTGGCCTTTATTTCCAGCTAAGTGTTGGAGGCTACAGATATTTTCCTTGGTTGCTTGAATCTTTCTAAGGTGATGGGTTAACCCATTAAGAGAATGGGCTAATTTCCTAGAATATTGGGCTATTTTTCCTAAAGTATTGGGCTATATTTTCTAGAGTATTGGGTCTTTTTCTCTCTTTTATGCTTACTCACATATTTGGGCTCAAGAAATGAGCTTGAGTTTCAGGGCTCCCAAGTAGCCCAAAACTTTCATTTCTCGACTCATCAATAGGTCTAATAAAAACTCGTTACCATCCATACCACAACCCACTCAGCTAGCCTTGGGCATTTGTATGGCTTGGGCCCACTTAAGCTCGTAACGTGGCTAGGTGCAAAATAAAGTTTTTCTGCTTAGCATTGCATTTTGATCAGCGTGCACAAATTTTATCGCTTTGAAAATGGATATGATGCTTGACAGAATAATTAGCATGGGCTTGTAGAGCCAATGCCTTTTATAGGCTCATTTCAATTCTTAGCGCGATAGATTGCATATTTATTTGGCATAACACATGGTCATGGCTCGTGCAAACGTGCATAATGAATTTGGCGTGCTCGGAACTGGGTCTTTTCTTAATAAGGTGTCTCACTGGGTCGAAAATTTATTTGGGCCCAACCTTGAATTTTTTGGGCCTCGACCAATGTTATATACAAGTTTCCTCCTAGGGTTTTACATATTCTTCATATAATTTTTATCAACTATTTTTTACGAGAAACCAAAGGTCAATTACATACTTTTATTGCAATGGATTTGCATTTTAAACGTGAATTAAAAAAAAAAATTGAATGAGAAGTATAATCTTCCATGCCAAAGGCAATTGATATGACAAGCTTTAGGTGTAATTGCATGACTGCATGTAAATCAGCATGTAACGCTAGAAAACCGCCATCTTTAGTTAGTAAAGATTATGTTTTTTTTTTGGTCTGAATAGTAAAGATTATGTTAGAGTAAGAGGAAAGAGATGAAGAAGTCCAGACAATTTAAGGATAATGAAAATTGAGAAAAATAGGTTTTGGTTTTCGAACGACAAAACCATCACTCAACTTTTTTATTCTACCTTCTTTCAAGCCATATTCATGAGCTGGGATTGGCTGTTGTTGGCTTTTAGTTTATGTTTTGGTCTAATAAGTACATCAATTTTGTTGAGTTTGATGCGTGGTTGTGGTTTCTCTTCGGGAGAATTTGGGTTTGTAAGTTGCGTTATAAGTGATGTACTTGGTTATTACATATTTGAGGCGATTAAGCTCGACTATTTGTGGCCCTGTGCGACATTAAGTTGATATGCGTGACTTTAAGTGGAGGTATACCATATAAATTTGATGCTATGACTAGATCCCTCCGTGTTTGGTGTAGCCCTTCACGAGCATTTGTTCTAGCCCTTGAGGCTTTTATATTTGTGCGGCGCTTATGACATAATTTATAAATACAAAATCCCTAGCATTTGACCGGAAAAAAAATACTTTTTTTTAAAACAAAAAACAAAGCAGCACATTCCAGACAGAGCGCTGGCTTGGCTGGCCTAATTAATATGAAAGAGATTTAATTAATTGAATGAAAAAGCGCGTTGCAGTTTTTGGAATTTTTGTAATTATTTTATAAATAAAATAAAATTGTGTGAATGCGTATATATATATATATATATATATATATATATGGAATAAGAATAACAGTGAGAGAGTGGGTAGGATACGATAGATAACACCCAAGACTTCCCCCCGTCCCTGGTGCAATAAAATGTCAATAACATCATCAAATATTATTAGAAAATAGAAAAAGGAAAGTGAGAGATAGAACAAGACTGTAACAAGACTGAGAAGAAACAAGAGGTCTTTGCTTCCTTCCTTCCTTCCTTCCTTCCTCTGCGCTGTTCGATCTCTCTTCATTCGGACTTGAGGTACGCTTTGTCTTAGATAATCAATGGAATTATGAAATAAGTGGGTTTTCCGTCTGTGGTTTGTGCTATTCGGAATTTAGCTTCAGCTTTGTGTTTCCGGGGATCAGATTCAAATTCCAATTTTTTCAACTTGTATTCTCCTTGATTTCCTACTACGAGAATTAGCTTTCGATTTTTTCCAATTTCTTTCCTTCTTTCATTTCCTATAATTGGTTTTGGGCTATCCTCTTTTTCGGAAAATTGTTATGATTGCTTCTATATATTAATTAATAATTTGAAATTTTCCATAAATATTTGCTTAATTGCCCTTCTTGATTGAGATTATTTGGCAAGAATCAACCTAAATTTGCCGTTTTCGGCTCACTTAAACATCGGAATTCAGCCTTAATGCTACTACTCCTAAACAGTCTTGTCTTCTACAGTTTCCATATGTGGTAACGATTCGGTTCTTAATATTCTTGTAACCATAAATCTGTATTTTTATTTCTAAAAGAAAAGGAAAAAAAACAACCACTGCTGGTCTTTGCTCGTTGCATGATCCAGTCTTAGAAAACCAGATACTGAAGAAAACTTATGGTTCCATTTTGATTTCAGGGGCTTGAAAAAAAAAGGGGGAAGTCGAGTACTTTGAAATTTGAAATTCTGATGCTGAAGAAGTAGGGCAACTTTGAAAGTTTTGCTTTTCTGTGGTAGAAGGAAATGTTGGAGGGTGGTGCCAAATTCCCTGGAATTATACGTCTAAACAACCATGACAACAACTACTATGATTTGTCGCAAGGCTTTTACCACAAACTCCATGAGGGTGAGGGTGAGGGTACCAACATGTCTATTGACAGTATGCAAACGAGCAATGATGGAGGCTCTGTTGCCATGTCTATAGATAACAGCAGCGTTGCTTCAAATACTAACGATTCCCATACTCGCATCTTGAACCACCAAGGGTTACGGCGACGTGCAAATGACAACTACTCTGTCCAAACCAGTGTTAACCGCCGAGGAAGAGTCACACATGCTCTGAGCGATGATCAGCTTGCTCGAGCCCTAATGGACAGCCATTCCTTGACACAGGGGCTTGAGAATTACGAAGAGTGGACAATTGACTTAACAAAGCTAAACATGGGTGAAGCTTTTGCACAAGGTGCTTTTGGGAAGCTATATAGAGGTACTTACAATGGTGAGGATGTTGCTATTAAAATTCTGGAGCGGCCAGAAAATGACCCAGAAAAGGCCCAGGTCATGGAGCAACAGTTTCAACAGGAAGTCAAGATGCTGGCTGCATTGAAACATCCAAACATAGTTCGTTTTATTGGTGGCTGCCGTAAACCAATGGTTTGGTGTATTGTAACAGAGTATGCTAAGGGCGGTTCAGTTAGGCAGTTCTTGATGAAGCGGCAGAGCCGATCAGTTCCGCTGAAATTAGCAGTCAAGCAAGCTTTGGATGTTGCGAGGGGGATGGCATATGTTCATGCTCTTGGGCTGATTCATCGTGACTTAAAATCTGACAACCTGTTGATTTTTTCAGACAAATCAATAAAAATTGCTG